AAGGTCAGGTGTCGCAGGGCCACCTCCCGCCGAGGGCTCTGGGAAGGGTCCTGCCTGCCTCTTCTGGCTCCCGGGGGTGCCGCACCCCTGGTGTCCTTGGCTTGCAGGCACGTCATAGGCACGTCACTCTGGTCCTGCTGTGGTCGCCATCACTGCGTGGCCTCCTGCTGCATCTGCACCGCTGTATGTGTCTTCGTGTTTCTTCTCTTCTTATAATCACACCAGTCAGATTGGAGTTGGGCTCACCCTCCTGCAGCTAGCCCAGGCCGGACGGAGAGCAGACCCATCTAGAACAAGGGGTCCAGTCTTTTGGTGTCCCTGGGTCACACCAGAAGAACTGTCTTGGACCACACATCCAACACACTAATACTAGTGATAGATGATGAGCCAAAAAAAAAAAATTACAAAAAAATCTCATAACATTTTAAGAAAGGTTATGGATTTGTGCTGGGCCGCATTCAAAGCCTCCCTGGGCCGAATACGGCCGGCAGACCTCACGTCGAACAAGCTTGATCTAGACCTTATCTTAGCTTAATTACACCTGCAGAAACCTTACTTCCAAAAAAGGTTACATTCCGAGGTTCCAGGAAGGGCATGAATTTTGGGGAGGACGCCCTTCAACTCGGTGTGCTTGGAGATCACTTGGTGGCAAAGGCTTGGCTCACTGGTAAGAAGTCTGAAGGCCGCTAGCGGCTGCGGCTTCCCAGCCTGGTGGTGGGAGGACCTGGCTCCCCAGGGGTCTCCTGTGCTGTCCAGGCTGCTGAACCTGGCTGCCTGCACCAATGTGCAGGGATGCAGGCTGGAGTGCGTCGCACGGAGGGTGAGGTGACCCCGTGCCTCCACTGTCCCCTGACGCGCCTGGCGAGGGCCTTGCACCCTCCTCCCCGGCTCTGCATCCTGGTAGAGCAGGTCTGGCTGCTCGGGAAGGGCCTGTCTGGGTCCAGCAGGTGGGGCTGTGGGTGAGGAGGTTCCCCTGTCCAAGGTGGTGAGCTGCCTTATTTCTGTTCCCATCGGTCCACGCCTTTCTGGGAACTTTTCCTGTCCCTTGCACATGGGACTGATGCAATGGTCCCAAACTCATAGACCCTCTGGGTCTAGAGGCTCCGTGGCTCCTTCTCAAGACGAGTGGCTGCAGTGTAAACAAGTGCACCAGGGAAGCTGGAGCCACGACTGCCCCCACCCCGAGCCGACTGGGCCGCCCTGTGTGCCCACTTTCCTGCTCCACACTTGGAGACCGCGTCTGCGCTGCCCCGGCCCCCCGCCCCCCATTCGTCCTCAACGGACTGTGTGTCCTTGAATCGGCACTGCATTCGCCTCCCCAAAGCACCTACATTCAGGTGGTGATGACTCAGGAGGGGTGTGCAAGCCTCTCTCGGGGAGGCAGGAGGAAGTTCTGTGCAGAGGGAGGGAGGTGGCGCCGCGGCAGCTGCAGACCGAGAGACAGCTGGGCAGCAGGGTGCTCCCGGGAGGCGTCGGCCTGGGGCCACCCAGGGTGCTGACTTCTTACCTCCTTCCTCCATCGGACTTTCTGCTGCTTCAGTCACCCAGTAACAGCACCAGAAAACTGAGCAGTCAGGCAGTGACCCTGTGACCTATACGTGCCACATCCACGCTGAGTTTTCTGCAGGGCGGTGAGTTACCGGTGCCAAGAAGGCAGTGTTATGGCCCTACCTGCCCCTCTGCACTCTGGGAGGCTAAGGTGGGTGGATCACTTGAGGTTAGAAGTTCCAGACCAGCCTTGCCAACACAGTGAAACATTGGCTCTACTAAAAGTACAAACATTAGCCGGGCATGATGGCGTGCACCTGTAATCCCAGCACTTTGAGAGGCCAAGGAGGGTGGGTCACTTAAAGTCAGGAGTTTGAGACCAGCCTGGCCAAATGGCGAAACCCCGTCTCTACTAAAAATACAAAACTTAGCCAGGCATGGTAAGGGGTGCCTGTGATCCCAGCTACTCGGGAGGCTGAGGCAGGAGGATCGCTTGAGCCTGGGTGGTGTAGGTTGTAGTGAGCTGAGGGTCATCCCTCATGACCTAGTCAGATTTCATCCCACGCTGCCAACTCTAATCACACTGCACCACAATTCAGGCTCTGAGGTCGGGGTCCTGCCTAACGTTCTGGGGTTCCTGCATCTGCAGGCTGAGTGCCTAGCCTGGGACCCATGCTCAGCCTGTGCTTGTTACATGTATGTGACAATGCCAGCGTGTCTGGGAGGTGAAAGGTTGCAGCCCCGGCTTGGGGGACCAGACTGCCCTCTTCTTGGATCCATCCGGGAGCCCCTGCCCTTCCCTTGGACACCAGCACAAAGCCAGGCTGGGAGGGATTCGCAGGGCTCCCCAGACATCCCACACCACACATGGCTGAGGAGGCTCCTGCAGGCATTGGGACGCCACCCCCAAGGAGGAAGGGGAGAGGCTGCTTCAGAGCCAGTCTTGCTCACCCCCAGGTCTTAGGCTGTGCAGGGCAGCCACCTGTCTGGGTGGGGCCCGACACCCAGCCCCGCAAGACCTACAATTCTGACAATGTTCTGCTCTGTCTCTGGAACTGGAACTTCCCCAGGGGAACAGGGTGGCTGGGGAAGGCTGGGGAAATGCAGGCTCTGGAAGGAAGGGTGGGCTCTCCCGTGCCATCCTCTGTTCCTGTACAGAGCCCAGGGCTTCTGGGGAGGGGGCTCCTAGAACAGAGAGAGGGGACACACATGGGCCTACCTACCCCCCTCTCCAGAGCCCCAGCCTGAATCCCCTTCTCAGAGAAGCCTGTGTCTCCACCTGGCGGGACCCGGCTTACCGTAGCTGCTGCTCCCACCAGCCCAGGGACCAGGAATCTGCTCCTCTGGCTTGTGGCTGATCCGGCACACCTGGAAGGCAGTCAGTGTGTGTCCCAGGAGCCTGGCTGGGTTGTGCAGCACCACTTCATGCTGTCCTGTAGGGTGAGCACCCTGTGACAGGTAGGTAAACTGAGGTACAGATGGGCCGGGTTTGCCCAAGGTTGAGCAGTGCAGGAGAACTCAGACCCAGTCTCAGCCTCACCATCTTAACTCTGATATGATCCCACCCACACCCTGCGGGGGGGCTCTTCAAGGACAAGAATGTGTCACCTTTGTTATTCCTTCCCCAGCCCTAAACCCAGGGTGTGGGCAGTAGGGGCTCAGTCAACGTTCTCTGCGTTAAACGGAAGGGAACAGCAGCATGGTCCTCAGTGCTGGCCACACAGAAGAATCGCAGGCACTGGGCCTCTCCCACTCCAGGCAACGTTGAGTGAGGCAGGTGGAGACCACAGCACCTGCAGAAGCTCCTCAGGCAGGTCCTTTGCCCCCGGATTATGAGGGCCGGAGGGGCTGCAGTCTGTTCCTGGGGTGTCTGCACCCTCCTGGAACTCAGCCCCGCACTAGACCTGGCCTGGCCTCCAGGTGTGATGAACAGTGGGAAGGCAGGAAGGTCTCAGATCCCCTGGGAATTTCCCCTGCGATGATCTTTGAAAAGCAACTGAAACCTCTGAAAATCCTGTTGTGTGTTGATGAACCTGGGTCCACCCTCCCGGAAAAAGGGAGTGCTGTGAAAACAGCGCGGGCTGTCCTCTTTCCCTCTTCCCTTCACTGGCCTCAGCGGGAAGGGCGCACCAGAGGCGAGGGGCCTTCAAATCTACCCACAACAGGCTTGCGAGCATGAGGGCAGGGCCCGGAGTCACAGGGCAGGGCACATACTGGCACTCAGCACGTGCTCCACTGGGCTCCCATGGGGCACTCAGGGAAGAACAGTTCATGGGCATACCCTCGGTGGTTCAGGTCGCCCTGTGCACCCCGGGGACCCCAGCTGGAGGCGAAGTCTGAGCAGCCAGGCGCTCCCATTTCTCAGGGTGATAACGTCCACCCCGGGGATGGTCAGACAGAGGCTCCTGGAGGGGTCAGTGGGCGTCATCAAAATGCCTCCCTGGAGGAGAAACACGGAGAACACGAAATCCAGGAGCCCATTTTCCTGGAATGAGATTAATCTCTTGTCCACCACCAGCCAGTCCACTGCAGGAGCCTGGGGGCCTGGGGGGTGCTGTGGACACAAAGGGCAGAGGTCTAGGGTTCTGGGAGTGGGTTGAATGCCAGCTCTACCAGGGACACTGGAGAAACCTCTGACAGGCACCTAAAATGCTGAGTCTTAGTTTCTTTCTCTTGAAAATGGATGTAACCATCCCTGTCTCATCTGATATGCTGTTAGAAAACAATTCCCAAGAGTTTTTAAAACAGCAAGCTGGGCAAAGGTGTACAGTCAGTTTCCATCTGTGCTAAAAAATGCATCCAGGTGCCGTGGCTCACCCCTGTAATCCCAACATTTTGGGAGGCGGAGGCAGTCAGATCACTTGAGTCCAGGGGTTTGAGACCAGTCTGGCCAACATGGTGTAACCTTGTCTCTAAAAAAATTCAGACAATTAGCTGGACGTGTGTCTGCTGCTCCAGCCACTCAGGAGGCTGAGGTGGGAGTGGGAGGATCACTTGAGCCCCGCAGGGTTGGGGATCACAGTGAGCTGAGATAGCACCACTGCACTCCAGCCTGGGCAATAGAGTGAGACCTTGTTTTGTTTTGTTTTGTTTTTTAAGTGCTTAGATTCAGAGAGAAAATTTCTGGAAGGATACCTAAGAAAGTTCAAAAGAGACGCCTCTGGATAGGAGAGGCTCTTTTGCATTATTTGATTTTAAAAACCAATTGTGTGTACCATGTTTTGATTAACATATTTTCAATCAATTCATTTCATCCATTTATTAAAATGTAATTAATAATTTTGGGGGGGAAAGCAAAAAAGGAAGAAAAGGAATCTCTGTATTTCAGGAGTTGTGAGAGAGGGCCCTGACTCAGGCTGCCTGTCTCTGAGGCTGATCTGGGATGGGCAGCCTGGGGCTCCCTTGTCAAGGGACCGGGGTGTTCTGAGGGCTCCTGGCTGGGAGGCTGAGATGGACACTGCACCTGTCCTGCTGCCCCCGGCTAGGAAGGCAATTGAAACAGGTCCACTCTCCAGCAGAGGACGTAACCAGAGCTGGGATCCGCCCTCGGGCTTGCTGCCAAAACAGTGGGGCTGAACAGACCTCTCCCCTTTGGGAGAGAAGAACTGTCTGTGAGCTTGACAAAGGCATGCGGGAGAGAACAGGGGCGGCCAGAGCCAGGAGGGAGAGCCCTCCCCAGGCAAACAAGCCGCAGCACTGTGCAAACACTGGGGCATAAATGAGGCCTCCCGGACCATGAAGCGTGTCCCGAGCTGCGTCCCGGAGCCCACTGAGGTCATGATGGCCAGAGCGCTCTGCCTGCTGGGGCTGGTCCTGGCCTTGCTGTTCTCCAGCTCCACCGAGGAGTACGTGGGCTTGTGTGAGTATCGTTCCAACTGCCTGGTGGCAGGTGGGCATGAAGGGAAGGGACCTGGGATAAGGGAGGATTCTGAGTTAATTTAATAATGGCCTTCTGGCTGGGTGCAGTGGCTCACACCTGTAATCTCAGCACTTTGGGAGGCCAAGACGGGTCAGGAGTTCAAGACCAGCCTGGCCAAGGTGCTGAAACCCCATCTCTACTAAAAATGCAAAATTATCTGGGCTCGATGGCACGTGCCTCTAATCCCAGCTACTTGGGAGGCTGAGGCAGGAGAATCACCTGAACCCGGAAGGCGGAGGTTGCAGTGAGCCAAGATAGTGACACTGCCCTCCAGCCTGGGTGGCAAAGCAAGACGCTGTCCCAAAAATAAATAAATAAATAAATAAATGACCAGCTGTCACATACATACTTTTTCCTGCACTAGCCCTGTGAAGTGGGTTCTTATTGTCCCCATTTCACAGAAAAGGAAACTGAGGCTCAGAGAAAATTAACAACTTATCTAAGGCAGCCCTGTCCGGTCGGTGTTACATCAGGGTTTTCGTCCAAGCTCATTCTCCATGACCCCACAGCTGTCTTGGCCGGAGACGTCCGAATTACAATACAGGTCTTTATGCACTTTTTCCACATTTACAAAGCAGAAAGCAAAGACACGGGAGAGAAGCTATGACTTCAGAACACTGACACATGCAGGGCAGTGTCCGTTCAGCCTCTGACAGCAACCCTGCACTGGGGGTGTGGCTGCCCCATTCACCCGAGTCTGAAGGAATTAGGGTGCAGCTTTTACCCCGCTGTCTTCTGAGCAGGGCCAAAGGCCGAGGGTCCCGCGTGTGCGGCCTCTTAGAGTCACCTGGAGAGCTCTAGAAGCCCCGATGCTGGGGGCACAGCAGTTACATCGGGCTCTCCAGGCCAGAGCCGGGCCTCAGCTGCTTTGTTTTGACACAATCTTGCTCTGTCACTTAGGCCAGCGTGCAGTGGCCCAATCTCGGCTCACTGCAACCTCTGCCTCCCGGGCTCAAGCAATTCCTCTGCCTCCGCTTCGAGTAGCTGGGATTACAGGCATGCGCCACTATACCCAGCTAATTTTTTGTATTTTTACTAGAGATAGAGTTTCGCTATGTTGGCCTAGCTGGTTTCAAACTCCTGGCCTCAAGTGCTACTCCTGCCTTGGCCTCCCAAAGTTCTGGGACTACAGCTGTAAGTTACTGCACCTGGCCAATGTCACTCATTTTTAGAGCCCTGCAGCTGATTCCAGTGAGAGCAAAGTTTGGACACCACTGTGCTAGGAAAACAAATTTCGGACTGGGAGCAATAGAAGGGAAGTTAAGAGACTGCACACGATTTCCATTTTCCTGAGGAAATACCCAGTTCATTAAGGAAAGGTAGAAAATTTCTGCTGCATACACAGATGTAGAGGCTTGCCTGAAAAATGAAAATGCTGGGGGCTGAAAGATGTCCAGGGAGGGTGGGACAGACTCAACAATTCGGATTGCGGAGATGCAGAAATGAATGAAAAGTGGGTGGCATGCGTTGCCGTGATCTCCGTGAAGTGGGTGCCTCCCGTTATGCTTTTCATTTAAGACAAAGGGGCAAGTTTTTGTTGGTCAAACAATGAAGGGGAACTTTGTGTCCGGGTTCAAGGGGCCCTGGATTCCCCAGGGGTTCTTGCCAGCTGGAGGGGACCCAGGTCTGTGTGTGACTTCCTGAGACGGTGAAAAGAGCACGCCAAGGAGAGAGACGCTCAGAATGGCAGAGTCCCCGTTCAGCATTGAACAGACTGGTTCTCTTTAAACATTCACAGGGAAAGCCCATCTTTCCAGGGCCAGGGTTTCAGCAGCGGGTGAACCCAGGAGGGGGGAGTGGGAGGATGCAAAGTTGCAAAGTAAAGCAAACCCCCCACCGCAGCCCACTGAGGGCTCCGCAGCTGACAGGGCTTTGTCTGGGACAGCTGCAAACCAGTGCGCCGTGCCTGCCAAGGACAGGGTGGACTGCGGCTATCCCCAGATCACCCCGGAGCAATGCAACAGCCGGGGCTGCTGCTTCGACGCCAGCATCTTCGAAGTGCCTTGGTGCTTCAAGCCCCTGCAGGAAACAGGTAAGCCCGAGGGGCAGCATCGTGGTGTGGGCCTGGCCCCACAAGGCAGAGGGTCTCAGGGCCGCCCTGTCCTTTCTGTGCTGGAGGTGGAGGTGGGAGGTCCCTGGGAAGCCACACGCCCACACCAAATCCTCTCAGCAGAGGCTTCAAGCCCAGGGCAGCCGTGGCCAGGGGCTGAACTCTTTTGTCCCCTTGGGGTAAAACATGAAAACAATTGTTTCAAAAAGGTGTTCAAAGCTACGGCATGATATAGAGGAAACCAATTTCACAACCATTCTTGAGAGAAGTAGAAACGCACAGGTGTGCAAAGCTGGGCCGACTTTCAGGCTGCTTTTCCAGACCAACCACGCAGAGTCTTGTATTTGAGGCAGGCCCTCCACAGATGGCACACGGTGCCAGCCTTGGGCGTCAGGCCTTGGTGCCCCACCCCACTTCCCCACTCTACCCCGCCACAAGGGGCATCTCCTCCCCCTCTCTCTCTGCCATGGTGGAGGGCAGACACAGGGCAACCACGGTGGGGGTTCCCTCCCCGGGGCGGAGGGCCTGCGTGCTGTGCGGGTAACAGATGGCCCTGCACCCGAGTTTGCCGCCCTGGCTCCACCAGGCTCAGCTGCCCCACATTGTGGGTGGGGTGATCGGCTATAAGCCATCTGCTGTGTCCAAGTGCCAGCTCAGCTCCCACAAAGGGTGCACCTGTTTCAGGTGCCTTCCTGGAACCAGCGTCCAGAGGGGCCTCTCTTGCCCTTTGTCCCAGGGTGAAAATGAGGGAGGCTGAATCCTGCTGATCCAGGCTCCCTGATCAATGATAGGCCCCTGCCCTGCCTGGAGCCTCCCTCCACCCTCCCCAGCAAGTCCAGGGCGGGGGTGGGGGTCCAGAGAAGGGCAGGAGAGAGAAGGGTCTATTGACTATCCACTGCTGGTCCTATTCCTTCGGCTCCTCGTCCTGGGACTACACCCTCCCCTCCCAGCACCAGCCACAGCCCTGCCAAGGCAGGGCCTTGTTATCTGCCTGACCCCAGGGTCCCTCATTTAGCAACCCGAGGTGGGATTTGTGGCATTCCCCCACGTGGTGGGGACTCAACAGTTCCCCAGTGACTTGGGGGAGGAGGCAGGACTAGGCGCTGACCTTGGATCCTGCCTTGACCTTGGGAAACTGGGCAGCGTGGGTGGAGCATGTCCAGGCCTGCTCACCACAGGCCTTTGCTCTGTTTGCAGAATGCACGTTCTGAGACACCTGCAGCTGCTCCTGGCCAGGGGATGTGAAGCTCCGAGGCCCTGCGCACGGCCCGGATTGCTGCCGGGCTGCTCATCTCTGCTTTTCTTTCCCTTTGCTCCCAACAAGCACTTCTGCTGAGAGCTCACGTCTGGGCCTGACGTCTTAATGAATAAAGATCCCATGCGCCGCACGAGGACGGTGCTTCGTGCCTGAGCCTTTCCACGGTTGTGCTTTATTTCTGCTGCGTCGTGGAAGAGGGTGGGAGGGGTTCGGGGAGGGTCTGCCCAGGCCTCAAGGGCAGGAAGAGACTCCCTAAGGAGCAGCAGCGCGTGGAAGGATGTTGTGGACCCCAGAGGAGCACCCACGTCACAGGAAAGCCCGCGAGCATCGTCAGCGCCGCTTCCGCTAGAAAGCAGAAAAAACTCATTTCAAATAGAGGTTTTCAAGAATCACCCATGTCTTTCTTGGTGAAGACATCCAGCCGATAGAAGAACCGTCTTCCAAAGTGGCCCTTTATTTCGTAACCGCTCCACACTCGTGCTGTTCCCGGGCTCCTGTTTCTTTGCACAGTCAATGTCACTATGAACAAACTGGCACTTTTTGTGTTTGTTTCCTAATTAAGTTTAAACATCGGTGACACATTGGGTGGCCTTCTTTTAAAAAATGGATTAAAAAAAAATGCCGAGCACAGAGGCTCAGGCCTATAATCCCAGCACTTTGGGAGGCCGAGGCGGGTGAATCACGAGGTCAAGAGATCAACATGGTGAAACCCCGTCTCTACTAAAAATACAAAAATGAGCTGGGCATGGTGGTGCGTGCCTGTAATCCCAGCTCCTCGAGAGACTGAGGCAGGAGAATTGCTTAAACCCAGGAGGCAGAGGTTGCAGTGAGCTGAGATTGCGCCATTGCACTCCAGCCTGGGTAACAAGAGTGAAACTCCGTCTCAAAAAAAAAAAAAAAAAAAAATGGATGCAGCTATAGGAATGAATGAACTGGTGTCACCAGGGATTCCATCTCACGTCCTCATGAAGCCTCTCCCCCTCTGGAGCTGGGTGTGGGTCTCTCCCTCCCGCACGTTCCGGGACACAGCAGCTCTCCACTCCCCTCCAGACAGTTCTGGATGCACAAAGGCCAGTGAATGCTGCCTGGCCGGGCCTCCTGTGCTTCTCCCACCGCCCGATGGTCTCAGGGCCAGATCCACAACTCCCCTGCAGTGCAGTCACGACGGTGGGTCCTTGTTCCGAGCTATTTCTCCCCATTCGAAAAGAGACAACTGCTCCTTTAAAACAGCAACCTTTGTTTTTGAGCTTGAACTGGGGGCCTGGTCCCCTAGAACTCACCACATTCCTAGACGTGAGGTAGTATTGCCCTTGCCTTATGGAAATAAGATATGGAAAGAGACTTTTTTGAAGTTGCTTGTCCAAAAGCCCCTACTGAGAGGGGCAATGTCAACATGCCCTGGTCTCTGAATCTGAAGCCCAGGGTGTCCCTTCTAATGCCCTGAAGCATCGGCTGCCAGGAATGGAAGTGAAACTTCCAGGACTGTCCCAGACCTCAGCCTACTCCAGATGTGGTTCCCTGTTCCTGGGCTCTGCTGCTCTGGTCTGCACATCCTCCTAGGTGGGACTCTGCCTCCGCTTCCCTCACAGACCCTGCCCAGCCTTTGAGGGTTGGAGGGATGGCAAGGTTGGCCCCAGGCCCTGGCCTCAGCCTCAGGCCACCCCTCTGCAGACTGGATGACCAGCTCTGTTTCCCTCCTACCCTGCCGGTGCCCTCTCCCCCGGGGGTCCGGCTCTGCTGCCTCCTTGCCTGGGACCTCATTCATGGGCACCGTCCACCTGCATTTCCAAAGAATTCCTTGCTCCGACCCACCCCACCCTTCCCAGCATTGCCTTCTGCTGTCACTGCAGACACCTCCCACACTGCGGTCCCCCAGCCCAGACTCCTTCCCGCTGTGCCCATGAGATGGAGCACAGAACCTGAGCCAGGTGGAACCCCTCCTTCACCCACCACAGAGCTGTTGTCTGTCTCCAGCCCGAGCCTGTGCCTTCCTCAGACAGGACAATGCTTCATGCACATTCCAGAAGCTTCACCATTGACTCCTGCTGCCCCGGGTGGGGTGGATCGAGGTGGTGGGCCTGGGGATCCCCAGGCAGGGTCGGAGGGCTCTCAGAACTCCGGGTGGGGTTTATGCTATGAGAAAGAGTGCAGCGCCACTGACGGCACCCGCCTGGGGGCTGTGACATTCTCATAAGAGATCCCAGACACCAACGTGGGACCAAGACCCAAAGCAGCCCACCCACCCACCAGCCTGAGGAACTTGGTCCAACCCACAAAGTGACCAAACATCGCCCTCTGCTGGCTGCTGGAGTCATAGCAGCTCGCAAGCGATCACAGCTGTGCCATGGTACTACTACTAGATACAAATTAAGACACCCTCACCCCTGTAATTCCAGGACTTGGGGAGGCTGCGGAGGGTGGGTCACGTGAGGTCAGGAGTTCAAGACCAGCCTGGCCAACATGGTGAAACCCCGTCTCTACTAGGGCATGGTGGTGGGTGCATGTAATCCCAGCTACTCAGGAGGCTGAGGCAGGAGAATTGCTGGAACCCGGGACATGGAGGCTGCAGTGAGCTGAGATCACACCATTGCACTCCAGCCTGGGTGACAGAGTGAGACTCATCTCAGAAAAAAAAAAAAAAAATTCCCAACTCTAGAATTACCCTGGGCTCCCCGTTGGTGAGGAGGATCTGGGCCCCAGGACATGTGATCTAAGCCAAGGGTTCCCCGTGGAGGCTTCTGCCATGGGGATGTGTGAGAATCGGTGGGTGCATTTATGAATCATGTGAACGGGGGCATTGAGCCAGACACGGCAGGACTCTGTGATGTCCCCAGGCGTCCTGAACAGACCACTGCCTCCACACGACGGACGTGCTAGCGTCCTGCTGGACACTCATGGTGGCTGCAAACCTATTCGTGATGATTGAAGCCCAGAGACTACTTCCGTGTTACATCTTAACACCGTTGTTTTGGTGGCGATTTTTTGTTTCAAATGGCTTGAACATACCTAAATTTTCCAGGAGTGCAGGGCGTGTAAATCAAGAAAACCTGCCTTTGCTTGGCTTGCAGTTTTAGCCAAGTGGTTCATTTCAAACATGTCAATGCCTGGGGCTGCCTGCGTTCGTGGAGGCCCATCCAGGGGGATTCAAGCCCTGGCTCCTTCCCCCGTCCTCCGGTGTAGACATGAAGAGCATGGCACATGGAGCAGTGTTGTATTGAACATTACTCTCCCCTACATTTCTCATGTTTTCATAGGGCCTCGTGCGTATTTAATTTCCAGCACTGGGCGTCAGTTGACAAGAGCTGTCCAGAGCCCAAGTGGCCTCTATGCCACCCACTGGGTTTCCCACCTCCTGGTCTGGGCACATCTGAAACTGGCATCCATCAGTGGCTCAGGGTGAATTCAAATAATGAATTGTGACCCATAGGACCCAGGAACTATTTTTATGTCAATTACCTTCATCACTGACTTGGAAATGGTCCATGTTTCCAGAACCTTCCGGAATGAACACTCTGATTGCCAGAAGCCAGAATGTGGCTGGGCTTCCTTGGGGCTGGCGTGGGCTGCTGGAGGAAAGCAGTGGGGAAAACACTAGGCGTCTTCCTGCACTGCGGTCATAATGCCTCATGATGGCTTTCCCAGGCATGCGTGTGCCTTCCCCCTCCTCTCGAGTTGGTGGCGAAAGGTGTGGCCGCGGCATTTCTCATTTTCCTCGGCGCGTCCAGGGTCAGCTGGAAAGCTCTATATTGTTCCACAATACGTTGGATATTCACTTGTATTCGTCACTGTATTCCGAGGATTCCTGAATTTGCAATGGTGAGGATTTTTGCTTCAAGCTCAGACACCCATGAGGGCTTCCATACGTCACAGACATACTGGGGAAGCCCTTAGGGAGGAAGAACAGGCTGAAAAGTTGCAGGCCTTGCAGTGAGTCTGATGCCTCTGAACCAAGTGGCGGAAGGACTGAGGAGGAAGAGCCTCCAGCAGGCCGATGGGGAGTCCCCAAAGCAGAGCACCCCTCAAGGGATCCTGTGTCTGGTGGGAATGCCCTGGTTGGGGGCAGCCCTGGAGAAGTTGACCTGGCGTGGATGCCTTGGTGGACACTGAGGGGGAGCCCGGGGCTGTTGGTGACCTAGGTCCCTGAAGCAGGTCACCTCTGAGGGACGGCTGAGTGGTAGGTGCATCTCAGGCAGCCAAGAAGCCGCCCTGTTCACTAGGTGTTTGCACTGAGGCCCTGCAAGTCCCTGGGCTGTGACACCGCTGTGGAGGCTGGAAATTCTCCCCTCAGTCCTCATTCTTGGGAGTTCAAGAGGCACTGTCATGCATTAGAAAGAGTTAAGAGACCCCCAGGGCTTCAAAGTTTCTATCAGCAAAATGGGACAATTGCAGTGACTGCATCGGAGGCTGCAGATGGCTGCGGGAGCAGGTGCAGGCTGAAGAAACTCACTCCCTGTGAGGCCAGAGCCGCGCCGCTGGGTGACCTGGGTTCCCCAGTGCATTTGGAGCCCACACTCCCTCTCTTCCTCAGGTTTTACTTTGTTCTCAAAACAGAAGTGTGTTTTCGCTGAAAGAAGCCAATCACAAAAAGCCGCGTATTGTGTGATTCCATTTATATGAAATGTGGGCCATAGGGAAACCCACGGAGACAGAAAGTGTTTCAGTGGCTGTAGGGGAGCTGGGGATGGGGAGTGGCTGCTCATGGGTGAGCGGTTTCCTTTTGGGGTGCTGTGCGATACTAGATGCTAAAAGCAACCACGTCGTACACTTCACTAAAAACAAAACTGACACCCAGTGAGATACGCACTTTTCAAAGTGAATTCTATGGCATGGGACTACCATCTCCATTACACACACATCTGTCCGTGTGCTGATGCTTCTGTTGAGTTGCCCATTTAGACGAGGCCTGACTTTCTGCCCTGAGAATTGCGAGTTGATTTCCAAGGGTATGCGAGCACCACGGTGTGACTGGCACATCTGGTCTTCGATGCCATGGTCCTGCCAGGTGGCTGCCAGGCGGCCTTGTCCCCTTCCAGGTGTCTCCTGGGCTCAAGGGTTTCCAGACAACACTCGGCACAGGATTCATTCGCTGCTTCTCTCTGTGCAGCTGTCTGTGCCCTGTTGGCCCGGGCGTGGCAGCCTTTCCCTGGGGTTTT